TTGCATGCCTGGTAATTTTACCTTTTTGTTTTACCTCGTTGGATACCGGATATTTTTATTTTCCTATGTAATTGAGCTTTGTTATGAGACATGATTAAGTTGCTTGAATCAGCTTGATCGTTTTAGGTTTGAGGTTTAAGCTTGGTTGGGAAGGACCAGAGTAGCATTTGGTGTAGGGCTGGGTTTTTTTTTTTTTTTTTTCCCTACTACCGAGGCAAAATCTCTTACTCTATCCAATGCCCTGTGAATGACCAGCTTTTCCTTCCTGGTCCTTTTGTGTGGTTCTTCCTCGACCTCAGGTAGTTTCCTCGAAAATGTGATGATGGTCTCTCCACTCTTCTAGCCTGCAAATTCTAACCACCTTGGCTTTCTTGGACTTGTAACACTCTCTCTCTCTCTTCACCCCAGGGTGGCTCTACCCGGGTCCCTCTCCCTGCACCGTGACCTGAAAACATCTCCCGACAGTAAAATAAATGGGTCAGTCCCATCGTCCAAGGATGGCTGGCCTTCACTGCCTGGTGTCCAGTGTCTTGACAACTGCCAATTCATATAGTTTGCCTCACTTCCTAGTTGTTTCAGGCAGAGGAAATCTAGTCTCTGTCAGTATCTCCATCTTATAAACGGGAAAACTGCGGGTCCAAAATAGAAAGTAGCTGGGAGGTATCAGTGGAGCTGGGACTAGAATCCAGGTGTTAACGTCAAGACCTGGTGTTTTCTCCACTGTATCACACCACTTTTTCTATGCAACAACTTCCTCAGGTAATTGAAGCTTAGCCCATTAAGCCGTATGGTGTAATTTAAAACATTTTTCCTAGTAATTAAACAAAAATGAGTAAGTACCCTTGCTTTCTTAAACAGAGCATTTTGAACATATTTGAACTTTTTATTTTTTTTATGATTTTATTTATTTATTTGAGAGAGAGAGAGAGAGTGCACAAGCAGGGGGAGGGGCAGAGGGAGAGGGAGAAGCAGGTTCCCCACTGAGCAGGAAGCCGGATGATCGCAGGACCCTGGGATCATGACCTGAGCTGAAGGCAGAGCTTAATCCACTGAGCCACCCAGGCGCCCCATATTTGAACTTTTTCACAATCAACATTACTTATGATCTTCTGCAATGGTTATCAACCCTATCTGACCCAAACAATCTCTTTTTTTAATAAAATATTTTATAATGTCCCTTTTATTCTGGAGTCTGCGCCTTTGTCAGTCATCAGGCTGGGTTCCTGCACACTGCTGTTCACAGTTACAAGGGGGCAAAGGAGTATCACCAGGTGCCTGGCATATTCCTCCCTGCTCCCACTGTATAAAAGCAGCCCTATCTCCTCCTGCTGATTAGGATCAGTCACCCCCACCAAAATGATGACTCTCTGACTTCAGGTCCCTGGACACAGAGCTCAACGTGCCCTGGGTGGCAGCCATAGCTTATAGTTGAATGGACCCCTGCTGCATCCCCTGGAGAGAGTGTAACCCCTTTGAGAACTAGCATCTCCAGCCCTGCAGGACCCAGAGTTGTGAGGACAGCAAGTACAAAATCCCCCAGTGAGTCATAGGGGGGCTGGTGCAGGATGTAATCCGACCCATGGATTCCACAGTCACTGTCAAGTGGGTCCCTTGCTCAGATGCTATGTTGTGTGGGATTCCATACCTATGGATTGGGCTGTCTGTCAGGACAACGGTACGGACTGAGGCTCTACAGATGGGAAAGGCCAGCCCATACTTGGAATAGCTAGCTATCCCCATGAGGGACAAAGTGCTGGCCTTTCTGGGATGGAGGGAGTCCAAAGTAGTTGATTTGCCACCAAGTGGCCAATTGGTCTCCCTGAGGATTAGTACCTGTTGCTGACAGTTTAGCCATTCAGATGCAGCCGTAGCTGTATTGACCTTGCTAAGTGCTATATGCATGTTAGGTAATGTGGTGGAGATTCCCTCTCTCTCTCTCTCTTTTTTCCCTCTATAGAGCTGCTCTTCATCTCTCTGACTCTCTGTCTTTAGCAGGCTCACCTCTTGCACTGCATCATCTGGGCTCCCTGCCCTGTGGGTTTGGTCAGCGGGAGGCAGGAGACCCAGCAGATCAGATAGCAGGAGGAGATAAAATTATCTCCCCCACCCAACTCCCACTTTCCAACTCATGGTGTCCCTTAACTGAAGTCCACAGCTCCTCTTGTTCAGACCTTTTTATAGCTCTGAGCATTCATAGGGTCCCCCCAACAGCTCCTTCTCCTCACCCCTTCAGCTGGAATGGTAATGCTCCCCACTGTTGCTACCCCAGGGGGCTTCTTCAGCATCCCCTGTTGGCTTCCCTTCAGCTGGCCCCCTTTGTAAAGAGTCTTTACATTCAGGCCTGAGGAGGTGATCTGTTCCTTCTAGAACCCCAACTGACAAAAACAAGATAGAGTATTTTCTTCCTTGGCTTTTAAAGCTGCAGGCAGTAAACCTATTTTCACCTTGCCTTAATTCATTTGACAAATATTTACTGAGCATCAGCCATGTGTCAGATCCTGTTCTGTTTTTTGAGAAAACAGTGGTGAGCAAGACAAAGGTCTTGCTAATGAAAAGGTAACTTCAAACAGTGATAAGTGGCCTGATCCCCCGAGTAATCCTTTGGAGGGGGCCGGTGGGCTCAGAGATGCCTTAGGTTAGGCAGCCTGGGAAGGTCCTTCAGAGCCAGTGAGGTTTGAGAACCTGGGGACCTTGACCTGAAGGAAGAACTTGCTGTTCAAAGATCTGAGAGCAGAATGTTCCAGATAGTGAGGTAGTAGGCAAGGGCAAAGGCCTAACGGATCAATGAGCTTGGCTTTTTTTTTTAAGTTTTCATTTAAATTCCAGTTAGTTATCACACAGTGTTATATTAGTTTCAGGTATACAATATAGTGATTCAACACTTCCATACATCACCCGGTGCTCATCACAAGTGCTCTCCTTAATCCCCATCACCTGTTTCCTCCATCCCCCCCGCCCCACCTCCCCTCTAGTAACCATCAGTTCTCATGAGTCTGTTTCTTGGTTCATTTCTCTCTCTTTTTATCCCCTATGATCGTTTGTTTTGTTTCTTAAGTTCCACATATGAATGAAATCATATGGTATTTGTCTTTCTCTGACTTACTTCACTCAGCATAATACTCTCTAGCTCCATCCATGTCATTGCAAATGGCAAGATATCATTCTTTTTTGTGGCTGAGTAATATTCTATCATATATATATATATCTCCTCTTCCTTATCCATTCAACAGTCGATGGATACTTGGGCTGCCTCCATAATTTGGCTATTGTAGATAATGCTGCTACAAACATGGGGACATGCAGTAACATTAACACAGGTGATGGGCAATTAACCCATGTGTCTGTAGTAAGACTGAAGTCCCAACCTATAATCTGGCGTTGGCCTCTTCCCGAGTAAACAATCTAGTTTGCTTAGCAAGTACTTTTCAGACTATTTATTGGGCACATGCCGGATTTTAGCATAGCCCCAAGATCTATCTCTGTATAATCACCTAACCATAAGCCCAATTTACCTAAGGAAGGTCACAGCTACAAAGTTGCAGAGGTAAGACGCCAATCACTTGTTTTATTCCAATCTCAGAGGTGGTTTTCCCCTCTGGATTAAGGGAGTAAGGAGGGACATGTCAGCTGGAGGTCCTCAACAGTTTTCAGAGATGAGTAATCTAGCCACCGAAATGAATAATCCAGATATCCAGAGAGCGAGAAGGAAGGTGTAACAGGTCTTTTTCTCAAAAAAAAAAAAAAAAAAAAAAGGTTGTGGAGTTGCCCAAATCACAAAGATCCAAGCGAGCAGTTAGTTTGTGATTTTATTTGAATATTACAGGCTTTAGTGGAAGTGTTATGGTAAGACCCATTTTAGGATATAAATACACCTGGTAGGAATGAATGTGTGACCATGCAGAGACCCTGCCTGACTTCCAGCCTTTCTTCCTTTTCTTGGAAAGACCGTGAGGGCCTCTTCATTCTACATTCAGGCTTTCCTACCTGAACCCTGTGATCTAAGTCTGCAGCAGGACCGCGGGATAGGCTCAATGCGGTGCATACTGGATTATTACTGTTGGCCGAACTGGGCTTCCACTGCGGAATTAAGCCATCATCTGAACAAAAGTTGGAGCTCTTTCCCCCCATCTTTTCTATTTGTGATAGTCTCGATTTTCTCAAATGCAAACCCTCTCTAGATCAGCGGCGAGGTCCTACGATTTCTGCTCCCAGTACCACATGTCTAGCACCTAATAAATGGTGAGAGCCCTAAGATTCTAAGAGGCATCTTTCGGCTTGGCGAGATCACAACCCAGACTACGTCTCCAAGCGCGAGTGCGCAGAGATCGCTTTCAGCCACCGAGCGGCGCCAGGGCACCATCCAGGCTGGACTCACTAAGTTTTCCACGGGGTTTGAAGTTCTGAACTTAAAAAAAAAAAAAACGGGGGGGGGGGGTGTCAGGAAGGTGAACTCACAAGTGCATTTCCCCCAGGCACGGATGATGCTCCAGCCAGAGGTGGGCTGCAGAAGGCGCCGAGGGTCCGGGCGCACCGCAGTCCTCTCGGGACCGCAGGGGACCTGGGCCTGGGGAGCGGCGGAGGTGCGCGCGCGGCAGTGGGGTGCAGCCCGGCGCCGGGGACAGGTGAGGTGGAGGTCCGCGCCGGGCCAGGGGTCGGCCAGGCGCGCGCGCGGGGGTTGGGGGGTGCCTCGGAGGAGCCAGCTCCCTTCCGTCCCCCGCCCCTCGCCGCGCGGGGCCGGCCGGGCCGCTCCTCCCCTGGGTGGGTCCCCGCTCCTTTTCTGGCAGGGTCTATTTGCATAGAGGAAACTGCCCAAAGTGGCCGCTGTGGAGAAGCTGGTGGCGGAGAGGGGGGCGTGCGCCGCGCTCCGCTGCTGCCCGGAGGCCAAGCCCCGCACCCCGCCGACCTCGTGCCTCGGGCTCTGCCGCCGGCTCCCCGCGCGCCAGCCCGCGCCCGCGGCTCCTCACCGCCCCCCTGGGAGACCCACGCGCAACCCGCGCGCCATGAGCCCGGGCCAGCGCGCCGGCGGAGACGCGCGGAAGGACGGCGGGGCGGGCGGCGGGGGGCGCCCCGCGACGGCGGCCGTGGCCTGGGCGGTGAGCGCGTTGTGCCTGCTGCTCTCCGTGGGCTCAGCGGCCGCCTGCCTGCTGCTGGGCGCCCAGGCGGCCGCGCTGCAGGGCCGGGTGGCGGCGCTCGAGGAGGAGCGGGAGCTGCTGCGGCGACCGCCGGGCGCCCTGGCCGCCTGGGCCGAGCCGCACCTGGAGCGCCTGCTGCGCGAGGTGAGGGGCGCGGGGCGCGGGGGCGGCCAGGGGCAGGGGTTGTGCGCGGGGGGGCGCGGGCTGTGCGGCTGTGTCTCCGAGGAGGGGTCGCCGGGGCCTGCGCGTCGAGGGGAAGGCTGCGGGTGCGGGTCCCCGGGGGGGCGGGGGGGGGGCTCCTGCCGTCTCCCGCGTTCCAGGGCGCAGCGGCCGCGGGAAACGCGAGATGGAAGTGCCGTTTCGGGAACGAGCAGCGGGGAGGGAGAGGAAAGCCTACGGACTTAGAAACTGTGACAGACTTGGGGGCGAGTCTCCACGGGGGTGCGCGCTCCGACCGGTCCCCTCCCGCCGGCGCTGAGCGCCTGGCTCCTCGGTGCCGCCGGACGAATGACCAGGCTCGTGTGGGAAGAGTCGTGTGGGTGACTCGCCCCCGGTAGCCTCGCAACCACTGTGCCCTGGGCTGGTGTACCTGGAGAAGCGCGGGCTCCCCAGCAGGCCGGCGGCCAGGGCGGAGGGAAGCCTCGGACAGACCTGACGGCCAGGGCCCTTGCAGGGACCCGGTCAGCGCCACTTTCCCTGTCCACCTCCCTCCGGAAAGGCTTGTTTCCGAGCAGCTCCATCCTGGAAATGCTGTGTTCTGGGGCTCTTGGAGCTGAGTGCGCACCCAGTGCCTACGAAACCTGGTAGGATGACGGGAAGAAAAAAAAAAAAAAAGCCCAATTCTGGTTTCAAGCGATGCAGATACATGCTGAATTTTCATGCGCTCGTTGGAAGTGCCGTATGAGACGCTGTGACACTTCTACTAGGGTTGCGGTTGTGTGTCTTCAAAGCAGACGCCACCTTTGGAGCTGCAAAACCCTCACCCATCCATCATGTTCAATGAAAACCTCCATGTTTTGTGCGGCAGTGCCCCTCCCCTTAGAAATGAGACAGGCAGGTGGACTGGCCAGGGGGTCTCCTGGTTGTGCTCACCTCCCTTACCACCCTCTTCCTCCTGGGAAAAGCAGATCCCAAGTATCCTGCCCAGAGGCGCATCCTCAGTTGTAGCAGGAAAAGCGCCAGGGTTTCAAGGTAGAGGAGAGGTAGGCCAAGCCTGTTACTAACCGTTTCCCCTCAACTGTGCAAGCTGTGATCTTTATTCATGTATTACCCTGTGTATCCATGGTTGAGTGCCTTTGGAATCTCTGAGGGAATGGGAGAAGATTGTGCCACACCTTCTAATCCCGGGTACCTGTTCCTTATGACTTTAATTGAAGCCAGCGTTACCTCTCCTCCAGCAGCGTGGTTTGGGGCAGAATTGCTGCTTCGTGAATTGATTTCCTTCTTTTAGTCTTCAAAGTGCCCACAGACTTCGGAAATCTCCCCGGAGCCCCGCTGGCGACTGGTGCTGAAGCTTCCATAATTGCAGCCCATTATCTTTTGGCAAATCCCTAGAGACCAGGGTGTTGAATTGATTTATGGAGGCCCAGTAACATTTCTGTTACTGCAATAACTGGAGCCGTTCTTTCCAAGAGGAGGCCCCTCTTAGTAAAAATAAACTGCAAGCCCGGACCGAGTGAATCAGAAATCCCAGTAAAATATTTTTACAAGGAATTTGCCAATTGTGTCCAGGTTAATGGTGGTGGGGACAGGGCGGATGCCCTGGCAAAGCAGCCCCTGCTGAAAAGGGTGGATTCGCAAGTCCTGGACCTTGAGGCTTAAGGATCTGAGGGGAGAGACTGCAGTGGCTTCATTCTGCCCCCCTCCTGCGACACTGATTTTACCTGGGTGGGACTTCATGTCTCTGTCTCCGTCCCAGTCTCTCTGCTCTCCGTTAGAAAGGCCAAGGGCAAATTTCACATCCAGGGATTTCCACTTGAAATTCACTGCAGCATTCCGCAGGCTGGCGTGAGGACAGGATGTGTGTCCATGGGCAGGTTGTACTACCAGCTAACTAAACTTGGCTTAGTTGGGTTTAGTTAGTTGAAGAGCATATGCGCTTGGAGCACAGGTTGGAGGGTGGAATGTCAGAGATGCTGTGGTTTAATGCACTTGGAGTTGAACTTCTGGCTGTTTGGGGTCCCCTGTGAGAAGCCATCTCTCTCCCAGGGCACCGGTCTAGTCTGTCTGTTCCTGCAACAAGCCGTTCTTCTCACTAATGTCCCTGGATGGGACATGTAAGCCCCTGGCTGAGGTGGGAGTGGGAGGGTGTGGGAGGTGCATCTCAAGGAGTTGGTAATTGGCTTTATCTCCTTTTTTTTTTTTTAAGATTTTATTTATTTGACAGAGAGAGAGCCCAAGCAGGGGGAGGGGTAGAGGGATAGGGAGAAGCAGGCTTCCCGCTGAGCAGGGAGCCAGAGGACTCCAGAACAGGAGGCTCAATCCCTTGACCCTGGGATCATGACCTGAGCTGAAAGCAGATGCTTACCCAACTGAGCCACCCAGGCGCCCAGGGAATTGGCTTTAAATGGCTGTGAAGATACTTTTTTTTGAACCATTACATAGGAAGGACAAATAAATACTGAGCTGAAAATCTCTGAAGGGAAGAACATTTGAACTTGAACATGGTTTCCAGCTCCAATTTGTTTTCAGGGAAGCATCTTTTGAGTCTGTGGCTGAAGTAGTTACGCATGCGAGGGTGCCTTCAGCTTGTCCTTTATCAACAAGCTTGTTTTCCGAGTTTCAGAGGCAGAAACCACATCCAAATTGAGGAAGAGAAATCCTTGCCAACCACACACAACTTTAATGTCAGAAAAAAACATTACAAAATAAGCCAACAAAAGCCACTGTTAATAAGGGACCCAATGTCTTTGTTCCCTTGGGAACAAAAGTGTGACATAACTTTTTTGGGGGGACTGGCTGCTGTGCCTGATAATGTAGATACAGAAGCTCCAAAAAAGGAATATTCATGCTAACTTGGGATTACTAAAGACCCTTCCCATGATCCAAAAATGAAAGAAATGGTTTTCATAAGATGAAAAAGTCGTTAACGATAGTATCTTCATTATGACCCGAAAATATAAATGCACAACAAACATCTGATATTATGCTTTTAAGGTGCCTTAGATAGGTTGCCGAAGTAATCAACCCCCCACTCATTACACCTATAATTACAGTATTACAACAGCTTAAATTTTAGAGTAAATAAAATAGCTTTCATACTCCAGTAACAAATTTAATGCAAGGATTAAAGAAATATTTAGCTGTATTCAGAGGAGAGCATTTCCAGCTTACAGTGGATTTATTTTGGCTCCTGGTCTTCCATTGTCCAGACCAATCAGTTTGAAAACAAGAAAAACTCAGAGACTCAGGGTAAAATTCAGTTTTCTCCCCTACCATCAACTACTACATGTATTGGTTAAATTACCGTAAAACCCAGAATCACATGCAGCTTTCTTGGCCTCTGCGGTGGCCTGCCACTTATCAGGACTGCCCTATGGAGAACATGTTAATAAAGAGCCAGTTTTTGAATCCCATGGCTCAACAGGAGATGGGAGGGTCAATAGTAGCTCCATTTGTTTCCTTGACATTTCCTGGCTCCCAGACCAAAAAGTTTCTTTCTGGTGACTTCCTGCATGCTTACTTTCTCCCTTTATTTTTTCCTTCTTTTTTTTTATTTTTTTTAATTTTTTGGTGGGGAAGCAATTTGGGAGAGCTTTATAAAATAGCAACATGTTTAGGAAAAGGTGAAAGATTTATGCAATCTGAAGAGAAACCAGAGTATTAAAACATAGCAGTGTGTGGGTGGCTCAGTCGGCTGAGCAACGGACTCTTGGTTTCGGCTCAGGTCATGATCTCAGGGTCGTGAGACTGAGCCCCACATCGGGCTCGGCGCTCAGCAGTCTGCTTGTCTCTCTCCCTCTGCCCCTCCCCCACTCACACTCATCCTCTCTTTCTCTTTCTCTCTTAAATAAATAAATCTTTAAAAAGTAACAGCATGGGGCGCCTGGGTGGCTCAGTCGTTAAGCGTCTGCCTTCGGCTCAGTTCATGATCCCGGGGTCCTGGGATCGAGCCCCGCATTGGGCTCCCTGCTCCGTGGGGAGCCTGCTTCTCCCTCTCCCACTCCCCCTGCTTGTGTTCCCTCTCTCACTGTCTCTCTCTGTCAAATAAACAAATAAAATCTTAAAAAAAAAAAAAAAATTCTTTAAAAAAATTTTTTAAAAAAAGGTAGCAGCATGTTTAGAACAAGCCAACTGTCAGGACATTTCTTTTGCAAACGTATTTTGGAAATGTTTGAATGGGACTTTTACATACTGGTTTCGAAGGTTTGCGGCATGGCTCCTGAGGTTGGGTCGTCCCATGAACTGAATGAATTTATCCCAGTAGGCAGAGAAGGGCTCTGGTCCTACCATTTACTAGCTGTGTCATCTAACCTCTTCAACCTCTTTCCTAATGTGCAGCTCACAACTACCTGTGCAGGGACAAGCAAATACAATAATATAGAGGAAGGCATTGGTCAGTAAGTGTGCTTTTGATGGTGAGTAGCGGAATAGCCGAGCGTGGTGCCTTCAACAATACAGTCATTGAATTATCTTGTGTAACCAGAGGAGCCTGGAAGTTAGTCAGCAGTTCTGAGTTAGTTCAGTGAGTCGGCCACCAGTGGGTCTGGGTCAGTGTCTGCCATTCTCTGGGCTTTTCCTCATGGTGTCAAGATGGCTGCTGCAGCTCCGAGCTCGTATCTTCACACAAGAGTAACCGAGGTAGAAGGGAAGGGGGCAGGAGAAAGAGTCCTCTTCTCAAGAGGCTTTCTCTTTTGTTTGAGTCAGAGGCGGGGAAGCTCCCAGCACCTCTCAGAAGACTCCCCGTATGGCCGCCGAGCAGAGCCAGCGCCCACGATTGCCATCATCCTGTCACTGGCAAGGGTAATGGGCTTGCCATAGGAGGCTTGGACCAATCTTGATTTCTCCCCTGGGAATGTTTTGGGGAACAACCAGCAGTGTCAGGTGGGGCCTGTAGAAGGTGACCCCAGAGGAGGATGGGGATGTGCTGGGGGGGTGGTCATCCACTGACCTACCACAGTTTTCATACCCACACCTGCTTTGGG